TTCATCCAGAGTTCTAAAAACTGATGTTGAGACCAGGCTATAGTGGTCAAACAAGAAAAGATGTAGCAAACTCCTACTAATTTCATTTTTTATTTTTATTTTTTTAAACATTCTCACTTCTACCAAGGCTGCAAGTAACCACTTTTAGATTTGAAAGTTACTGGAAAAGAAAAGATAAAGCTTACAAAGCAATAAGTTTTAAAAATAGTATTAAATATATTTTTTGACTCATTATCTAAATTGTTGTGATAACAACTTGCTAAAAAAGAATTGAGTTTTTGAGTTAAAGTTCGCCAGCCACTGTCCCATGCTGTAGCATAAGTAAGATTTTTTTCCAGCTTAAATGCCTCCTTTAAGCAATCAGAGATTGTTTGCTTCTTATCAAGACAAGAATAAATGGCACAATGCCATCTTAGATGTGAGAATTTCAGGGTTTACAGAAGTCACTTTTCAGCAGCCTGTAAAACAAGACTGTGATAAGCACTTGCTAAATAGTTTTGAAAGTATAGATGACAGCTCCAGAAAATGCTTCTGCAAGACTATAACAGGTATGTTGTCTGGATTGCAAGTTGTAAAAGAGTTTAAGCAGGAAATCACTTTAGATACAGAAGCTGGAGTGATGTCAAGCAATGGATCAACTTGTTTGTCTGTTAAAAATTCTGCAAAACAAATTTATTTGTATTATTTTTCTAAACATCGCAAAAAAATTTCTGTAAAAAGCAAAAATGATAAATTATTTTTATTTTATAGGATATTTTTTACAGATATCTTAATTTTTACATTTATATATCTAACTTATATTTCTTTTGTTTTTAAATTAAAACAAATATTAAAGCTTTACTTACCAATCTTATGATTTTCATACAAATATTTTACATTATATAAAATGTTATAAATACGGTCTTTCATTTGCAAGAGAGCGCAGTATTATTTATTCTGAATCTTACTTATTTTTATTTAAACAGTGGGAACAATTTTTTAACTTCTCTGGTCATTTTTACGCAATAATATTTTTTGTTTTCCCGTTGAAAAAAAGTATTAACAATTACTTTCATTAACTGACAGTATTAATTAGAGATATTTGATGAACTGTTAAATTTTTTTACAATAAAAAATTTTTGATTACATTGATTTAATTTAAATTGCTAAATTTGCTGAATTGGATAAAAATTTAATATCATTTTATTTTGCATTTGATTTTTGACAACGAAACTTTTAAAATGTCAGCAATTCCATAACAATTACAACCTGTTAAGGTTATGAAAAAAAAGTACAAGAATACACTAAGCAATACAGTTGACAGTAGTATCAGATATAAAAACTTGTGAAAGGATATGTGCGATCCTGGTTTTGCATTACAAGTACAATTAATAGCAGCGCAAATCAGAATTATAAATTTTGATTATAAGTTTACTGTTATTTTATAACCATCAAATTAAAAACATGAAGTACGTATATTTTTGCCCGTTTTATACAACTAATATTTAACAAAAATAGGGACAAATTATTATTAACACAATAATTAAAACATTAATTAATGGCAATAATTCAAGATAGATGGTAATTTAAATTGTCAAAAATGTTGTAATGCGCGTTAAAAAACATATTATATTTGGAATTTTTCAATTTATGTGTCATATTTGGCATTTGTCTATTAACAAGGAAAATTAAAAAACTAACAAAATTGACAAATACAAGTTTTCAAGCAATTTTTCTCATTTATTCAAAGAAAAGTTACAATTAAACTTTTATTTCTCTCATCTAAAAAAAGAACAAGTGACGCAAAAAAATATATATTCTATACAACTTACTCGAACTTTAATTATGCAAAACTTTTCTTTCTCTTTTGTTCTATGCTCTTATAAAAAAATGAGCATGAAATAAAAACTTTTCTTTCTTAACATAGAATTAAACTTAGAGAGAAAATTAAATTAGAAAAAAATCAACAATGAGCAAAGCAACTAACAGCTTAATCTGGGACTATTTAGATGTTAATGAAAATAATCAACATAAACAACATTACCAGCAACAATAATCAAATAAACAACACAATATCAGGTAGTTTTAGGGATTTTTTATTTTTATTGCTTAGTTGTTCTAAATAATAAGTATATTTAGTTCAAGTTAATATTTCAATATTTACAGTTGCAATATATAAAAAAAAAAAGATGTTTAATGTTAAACTTTTTATTTAGTTATTTATTTTTTGCCTACATTTGTTGTAAAAAACTTTAGAACCCCCGTCATTAAAATAATTTGTTTTAAATATATTTCGACGTGATTATTCAAACAAATTTTTTTCGTTTGACTTCCCGAACTTCATGCAAACCAAATTCAGACGAAATATTATCTAACCAAATAAAAATGCTGTAACTAATTTTATACGGGTAATTATTATAAAACAATTTTTTATCAGAATCTTAATTGAGACAAATACTTTATCAATTATTAACATTAAATATAGTGCAATAATAATTTATCGCAACAAACGAGCATAAAATATTTGAGGTTTATAATATCTTTTTAAATGTTAAAATTAGAAAATAAATAACTAAACAAATAATGAAAAAATTTACGAATAAAAATAAAAATTTTTCCAGAGTTTCATTTGTCAAAAGTCTATTGTGACGTCAAATACTAAAACTTTTATGAATTATACGCGCTTCAAAGGAATCACCGAAGTCTGTAGATTGCAACGTATAATTTAAAGACTCCGAGTTTTTGAATAAAATGGAGAAGGGGAGCTTTGGCTAAAACAACAACATTAGTTTTTCTCTGTATGCATTCATTATTTATTTTTAATCAAAAAAACTTGGTTCAAACCTTTTTTCTTAACATTATCTTTAATATGAACACAACATGTGTTGGGAGTTTGAGATCCCTTTAACACCTGCAGAGTCACTGACACTAAAACCAAGCCATTCAGTGTGATGACATGTTGGTGTAAAGCCACCAACAACAACGATATTGGCTGAAGCGTAAAGAGAAAGGGCTTGGTCAACTTGATCAAAAACAACATCAAAAAAAGTGCAGTCTTGAGATCAAGGAGAGCTATATAGAACAAATAGAAAGGTAATAGAATGAAATGGAGCTAAACAAAAACACAAAAGAATAGTCTGTAGATTAAAACCTAGTTTCCTGACAAATGGGTAAATTCTTACAAATGTAAATGCCCAAGCCAAGCATGTGACTATTAAATTAAAAGAAGATAACCATTAAGACTAAAACCACAAGATGAGACAGCTGAACTCAAACTAGACTCACTAAGAGCAAGTCGGTCTGGTGAACTTTGCAAGAGATAAGACTCAACAGAAGAAAAGTTACTTCAAATGTTCACAAGTTCTAAAAACTTATGTTGATACTGAGACCAGGTTATAGTGGACCAATAATAAAGGATGTAGCTGACAAATTCCGACTAATTGTGTTTGATAAGGAAAAAAGTAAAACAAAAGATGCTTTAAATGCAGAGTTTGTAAATAGATGGTTGTTCAAACATTCACAAGGAGCCAATTGTGTAACAATTACAACTGAAACCTATATGTCTATTTAACTGACATAATTGACATATCTGAAAGCTCACAATTCTGAATACCATGAAGAGCAGTTTCATGAGTTAAAAGAAATAAAGCTCATTTCATGTAGTAAGCATTGCTACTGACATTATAATGTATTAAAAATGAGGCATAACATTGAACTTCAATTATATATTGATGCAGTTACATATGATTGCTCTACACATATAAAGAATTTGTTAGCACATGGCTTAGAAATCGACAATGTTAAAGACTATATAGTATTTTAGGAAATATCACTTTGCTTTGACATTAAATAGAAAAGCTGGTGGACTAAATCTTGTATTGCTGCAAAAATACCATGATTGACTGTTTGAATGTGTATATTTCAAAATAGTCAACTTAGCTAAAAATCTGTGAATCTTGCACTGAAAATCAGTGCTACGGAATGTCTTTTATCTAGTCATAAGAAATCTGCAAATATCTACTTGCTCACCTAGAACCTGTTGCTTTTGCACTTAATAAAGCACAGAGTGACAAATTCCAAACAGCAGATGTAGTGAAAGTCTTGAAGCTTTTGGAAAAAAAGAAAAGATAGTAACACCATCCCATCTTATGGCTTTTTTTCTTTAGCTTCATTACCAATGTCTAATTTTAAATGAAGTTGAAAAAAATACTGTGTTAGAATATGCCATATCAACATCTTTCTACAGTTATGAAACTCAGAGTAGTGATACATATTCCTGGAATTATAATTTAACTTGGAGGTTTTAACAGTATTATATCTGTTCAGTGGTTTATATCACATCGTGGTAACACTGAAAGTAAAATATTAAATTCAATTGATGACTGCGGTAGTTGAAGAAGTTGAGTGTGTTCTCTTCCTACAGCTTAGTACATTCAAAATTGAGAAATAGATTGGGTATTGAAAAAAAGCTGTTAAGCTTGTGTTTTTCTTAATGACAAATAATTGCCAGAAAATTATTCAACTGATGATTAAATTTATTGCTGAACAAAAAAAAGATTTTCTTGGTTTTACTGATGATTAAGTTGATTGATTAATTTTGTACACTGTTGCCATACCAGTAGTTTTTATTCTTATGGCATATTTTAAGTCATTAATTCTATAAATACATAGTTCTGTTATATTTATTTTATTTTATAAAAAAAGTAGAGAGAATGAAAATGATCAATATTAACTTTAAATTAAATTAACACTAAATTCAATACAAGTTAAAGGTATTTTAATACAAATTTAAATTCAATTATTAAACAGTATATATTTTTTTCTTATAACCAACAGTTTCATTTATTATATATTTATTAAAACCAATAGTTTTAATTTTACTAGATGATTGAAAAATTCTACTTTAATGTATAAAGTTTAAACAGATTCAATTAATTTTAGTTAGATCAATTTTAGATTTTTTTAATTATTACTTTTTTTAAAATTTTTATTGAGTATAAGTTTAAATAAAGAAAACATACCAGTCGGAAAGTTGTGTGTTTCTGCAGTGAAAATGATGTGTCTTAACTTTTCTTTCTCTATATATTCACCAACTTCAAAACAAACTTTTGGCACAAGTACACGCACAACAAAACCTTCAATTGCACTAAATTGAATATATATATATATATATATATATATATATATATATATATATATATATATATATATATATATATATATACATATATATATATATACATATATATATATATATATATATATATATATATATATATATATATATACATATATATATATATATATATATATATATATATATATATATATATATATATATATATATATATATATATATATATATATATATATATATATATATATATATATATATATATATATATAGACCTATATTTTAGTTTAAAAGTATATGGTTTTTTTGTTACCCCTCAAAAAAAAAATTTTGGGTGGTATTGAAAATCATGAAAATTGGTAACTTTATGAAATTTTTCAGTTATTCCTATTGTTATATATTTATATTTTGGTGTGACAAAAGTACATACAATAAAAATAATAAAAATGAATGAAGCACGACTTAGGTCAAAGAAAAAGGAACTTTTTATTACAATAGAGGCAAAACCAGCTATATCAGGTAGAAAAGTTTTTATTAATACTGGAATTATTAAATTACTGGTCACTAAAATGTTTATTTAAAAATGTCTTAATCTTTTTGTTTAGATGTACAGTAGGGTGTTTCATTTCCAACAATTTTTCGAAAATGGTTACGTTACATGCATAACGGGGTATATAATGTGCCAAAAAAAAATTTTTAAATGTCATCAAGAGGTTGCCATCTTGAAAAAATAGCGTTTTTTACACTTTTTTCAACTTTAAACTTGAATAACTTTAAAAATAATTAATTTTATGTTACGTTACTGGGTGTATATATCAAAGGTTATTAGATGAACATTTGGTGAAATTTTTAGAAAAATTGGTCAATATCTGGAGGTCGCCGTATTAAAATATAAAGCTGAAAAACTTTTTGTTTTTTTAAATCTTAAAAAAAAAAATTCAATTAGGCTATTTTTAGGCTTCAGCTTTTCTAAGAATAATAATTAATAAAGAAGATAGTAGTAATATAAAAAATACTATAAAGTATTAATTAGTTTCGATTTCGAATAGGATGGATTTTCCTTTCTGTGTTGTTTAACAACTTGCAAAATAAATTGTTGTTGTTCTTCATTTTGCACACACTCGTGGAAATCACCAATAAGTTTGATTCCTCTTTCGGTGCAATCATTTGTTACCTCTAATTGTTTAACAAAATTTTCTGCAGTTCGATAATCTTGGAAGAATTTTTACTCTTGTGGATTCATCTGGAGCCATTCCTGGTTGTTTATTAGTCCTAATAAATCAAAAAGAATTAAAAAATAAATAAAGGTTGAAGAATTTAATGTCAGAAATTTTGGTTTCCCGATTAAAAATATTTTGGTCTTGGGGTAGAAAAAAGTTTGTTTGCCATTATTGTTCTGGTAAATTCTGACACCAAAGGTGACGGTTAATCGACGAAATCACAGCGGTTGCGATATCTGAATCTTCTTCTTGATACTAGTTCATTGCAACAAAAAATTTGAAGTCATCTATTGGAGTAAATACCGAAATCCTTGAGCAGAGAAATTGCATCAAATAAAAAAGATTAATAAACTTAGCTCATTATTGGACATAATAAATTTATTAGATAAGAGTTCCATTTTTAAAATATATATAGAATGTGACATAAATCACGCATTGTGAATTGCACCTGGTTTGTGAATTTTGAATATTCTGTCCATTGATAGTTTTCCCCCAAAGATAGATAATAGTTAATTCAATTAACTCAAGATAATCTTTTCGCTTAAATATTTTCTCTTCGAGGCATTGGTAAGCCCATTTCAGAACTAAACTTGCTTGATAAAATATTTCTGATTTAATATCAGTAGGCCATTCAAAAAAATAAAAGTAATCAATATCAATTCTAGAAAATTCGGCTTGGAAACGTTTAAAAATTGGTTCATCTGGACTTTTGCTACCTCCTCGTAATGCGGTAAGTTTAATTGAAGTTGCTGCTCCTTTTTTATTACCTGTGTTGCTTGCTGTTGTATCAAAGCATATACCAACAATATTTTCCAAAATGTTCCAATCTTGCGCAAGTTTCACAGCCACGTCACATTGAGTTTTACCTGTCAAATCTTTAATCAAAGGTACACCAATAAGTTGCAAATAAAAGTTAAGTTAGTTTCTTTGAATACAAAAATAAAAAATATACGTAGGATTTATATAAATAAATAAGTACCGTTAAGAGATCCGCTAATAAGAACTGCTACACGTTCTTCATTATGAGCTATGCCTAAATAAAAAAGCTTTGAACCCCAGTGCAAAATGGCCTTTTTAGGTTTGTTTATTAAATCTCTTAATTTTTTTACTGATTCTAAAATTAAAAACAAAAGCTATAATTTTTCTGTAAATTAGGCAAAAGAAAGTATCAGGAAGAAAAATTGTCTAAGACAATTTTTCTTCCTGATACTTTCTTTTTACAGCCTAAGAGTTTGATAGATGATATACCCAACAGTGAACTTATGGACACAATTCTAAGCGTGGACTCTTTAATCGAATCTGATTTTGATCCAAGTGATTGGTATCACATAGTAGTCTCATAAAAACCCAGATACAGTAACTGCCAAAATTCAAAAAGATATTTATGCGGGTAATGTTTCACTTACTGCTACAACCTGTGATATATCACCAAATGTTTTACAGAAGGTAACAAATGCAATTTTATACCAATTAGGTGTTGATCTTAAAGAAGTTAAAGCAGCCAGTTTACTGCTTATAAACAAAGGAGAAGTATTAAAGAAGGATACAATGGCTGTTTTAGTTAACATTAATGGAGACTTACCTACTTGGAGTACCTCCGCTAGCATTATTCACTGGTGAAGATCAGTTCTTAGGTGTAATGAATTTAATTAAGGAGTATCAACTTATGTCAAAAACTAGAACTTATGTCAAAATCTAAAGAACTAGATAAGTGTCTTCTCTAAATAGCCTGTAGACATCACGTGACTGAATTAAGAATGCTTCATTTTTGGAAATTAGTGACCAATGACAAAACTAATGGACTTGATAATTCTCTTTTCAAAAAGTTCAAAGATATTTTTGAAGAATCTAATTTTAATTATAATCCAGTTCAACTGATACAATTTGATTGATTAAAATAAGGTTAAAAGCTCTCTTTTAAAAAAGAGAGCTAATAAGTCATTGACATTTCATTGCAGAGCTTATGTTGGTAAACCAGGTATTATAAGAGAGGATAGAAGCAAGCTTGTAGAATTAGTTGTCACTTATTTATTGCCTTTTACATATAAAGTAAGAAAAACTGGTGCTATTCATGATGCAAGATTTTTAGGAAAAGCAATTTATTATCTAAAGCTTCAACTTCTACCCAATCAACTTGCGTTTGTTCGAGAAAATGATAAGCTGAAAACTGAAATTAAGCTTATATCAGAACTTGCTGTTTGCTTTTATGCAAAACAGTATCTACAATCTGAGGATGTCATTAAAGCTCAGTTTCTTGATCTTATGGCAATACATCAAATGCATCTGTACAAAAATGTATGTACAAACCCAATTGCTTTTGATGCTGTATTAGAGTCTCAGTATAAGAATTGTTAGCGGATTGTGAAGAATTGTTATTGGATTCAACCATGATACCTCTAGCTTTGCTACTTGATGAGTTAGCATTAGAGGAGAAGGCAAAAATTGCATCAGAAATTCTGTTATTTGATATGTCTAGCTCTGACTACTATAAGCCTGAGAACAAAGTAAAAGTTGATATCAAGGTAAAAGTTGATATAAATTTATAATATGGATACAAATATTGGTAAAAAAAACCACCATCTTTGTCTGTCTTAATGATTTTTTAACCTGATTTTTGACATGATTGGGCTTGATAAGCAACAAGTTAAAGACTAGCTCTCACTTCACCAAACTATTGGCATACTTAGTCATGCTTCAAAAGTTTTCAAAAATGTTCTGAAAATTTTTGTAAATGACCATTCAGAATGGTCAATAGGCATGAATGGACAGTATATTCATAGATATATCGATGAAACTGAAAAACAGAACAGATAGCTCAGAGCAGACAAAGTTTGATCTGTATATAGATCACCAAAACAAAAATCCAGTACAATTTCAAAAAGTAAATTTAATGATGGCTTTGGTGTGATACAGAAAAAGATAAAGAGATAAAGTTGATAACTTAATTAGATTGTCAAATGTTTTTTTTTTTCGTTTTAAAATTTAAAATATACATTTATCTTTTTATTAGGTATAAAAAAAAAACCATTTATTTTTAAACTAAAATATAGGTCTATATATTAAAAGTAAAAAAAAAAATTTGAAAAAATTTACCGCTCCATCAAGATGCCCAAAAATGATAAGTTTTCGGTCTTTTTTTCCCCTAAATTATTGGCTTGAGGGGTTAGGGGTCAAAAATGATCCAATAGCACTCAAACTTTTTAGGTTCATTTTTTATATACTTCCCTAAATTTAGGGGGTATGGTTTTTTAGATTTGAAAATTTACTTTTTTCGACTACCCCTAATATATATATATATATATATATATATATATATATATATATATATATATATATATATATATATATATATATATATATATATATATATATATATATATATATATATATATATATATATATATATATATAAATATAAATATATATATATAAATATATATATATATATATATATATATATATATATATATATATTATATATATATATATATATATATATATATATATATATATATATATATATATATATATATATATATATATATATATATATATATATATATATATATATATATATATACTCTTGCATGGTAGTTAAAAAGAGTTTCCCATAAACTGTAGTTTTAAAGAACGCGTTAATAAACCACACCAGAAAAAGTTTTAAAACTCAATTTTTTTTTTTTTTTTAAAATGATAGACTGCCTGCCCAAACCAAACCCTCAGTCGATGTAGCAGCACTCCCTTGCGAGTCAGGCTATTTGTCAGTCGTTGTAGCAGCACTCCCTTGCGAGTCAGGCTATTTGTCAGTCGATGTAGCAGCACTCCCTTGCGAGTCAGGCTATTTGTCAGTCGATGTAGCAGCACTCCCTTGCGAGTCAGGCTATTTGTCAGTCGATGTAGCAGCACTCCGTTGCGAGTCAGGCTATAAGATAGTCGATGTAGCAACATTTACGCATGTTTTAAAAATGTTTTTTAATAAAACAAAAACAAAAACACTACTAATTAAATATAAATAAAAAAACTTTCTAGTCATTATTATTGCGGTTTTTTAAAAAAATTTTAAAAAACAATAAAATTTAATGTACTTCCGCATTAATTTAATTGCTTTGACATTTCGACGACAATCAAATACAGCTTAAGAGACGAGGTAATTAAAATTGCAGTCAAAAGAGACTTTTTTTACATTAAAAGACATATATATATATATATATATATATATATATATATATATATATATATATATATATAAAAGTGAAAAGTGAAAACTGTTAAAAGTGAAAATAAGAAAATTTATGAAAAATTTTCTTATTCCCCCCCCCTGCGCCCTTCTTTTAAAGTTTTTACTGTTACTTTTTTACTGTTGCCCACTTTTTCAAAATTATTTACTTTTAAATTGATTTTAGGCTAAATATATAAATGTATTATTGCAATTAAATATGTTTTGTATCAATATTGATCACTGTTATAATTCTAAACTATGTATCTTAGTAATATTAGTAAATATAACTTGTTTCAATTCAATGATTCTCAAAAATTATTAAATAATATTATTCGCAAAGCTTGAGATGAGAAAATTTTTTATGATGGATATGTTACATACATTATTCAAATAATTTTACAATTTATAGCTACTTTTTTATCTATAGATATAATAGCATATATAAAAAATATTTGATCAGTTATGAGCAATAGTAAATTGAGGAAAAATGATGAGAAGTTTGATAATATTGTTGGTAAATTATTACCTAACCTTGAAGCAAAGATGTATTGCATCTGTAGTTTGGGAAAAAGTTATTGTTTTTTGGAAAATAGCAGGAATTCCAATAAAACAGAAGAAAGATACTACATCTGATTCATCTTAGAGAGAACTTGATTAAAAGTGCAAAAAAAAAAAAGTTATGCAACTCAACTTCTGAGTTTTACTAATAAATTATCATTGTTGTTTGCTATTGCACCATCAAATGCAGAAAATTTGATAAGAAAAGATATCTCACGTAGTATCAATAGTCAGATCTCAGATATAGACTTTCTCTCAGATCAGCGTCACTTAAAAAAGCAAATTTTGGACCCATTAGACAAGAGTTATGCTATGAAAGTGAAAAGAAAAGAGGAAAAAGAGAAACATAAAATCAAGGCTATTGAAAAAGAGAAATCTAGAAAGAAAAACATAGAAGAAAAAAAGCTTTAATGTATTGGCATCATTGGAAATTGTTGTGTGTATCCAGGATTCCTGATACAACTGGGTGAAGTCAGGCAACAGCTACCATAGATGCTGTAAAGGCATGGAAACTAGAAAAAACACTTGTGGCAATGATTTTTGACACAACTCCATCAAATTCAGGTTGATTGAAGAGCACTTTAACAAAAATTTACTTTGGTGCGCCTGCCGACAACATATTTTTGAAAGAGTTTTGTCTTCTGTTAACTTATAAGTTTTTGGAGAATGTAGATCTCCAAATTATGAGCCATTTAGACACTTTAAAAATGAGGTATGACCTAAGCTTTTATTAACTTCAGATACTACTTTTAGAAAAATAAAAATCGAAGAACCAGTATTAAAGACCAAACAAGCAGAAGTAATAAGTTTTTTGTCTGGTTTACTTAACTGGAAATCTCGAAAAATGTTAAGAGATGATTATCGAGAATGTTGTCCACTTGTTTTGCAATTACTCAATCCAAAATAAATAAATATACAATGGCACAAAGCCTTCCATCATGCTAGATGGATGTGTACAATTTTTTACACATCAAAGATGTTTGCTGACCTGGCAGAGTATGAAGAAAGTTTTATAGAGAAATTGTCACAATTTTGTAAATTTACTTTACTATTTTATGTGAAAATATGACTTATGCGCACAAGCACAGTTGATGCCCCATTTAATGACATTTAATGAATTCTACAAAGAAATGCTTATTTATAAAAAAATTGACACTGATGTTGCTGTTGCTACCCTGGAAAAATTTAATCGGCATCTTTGGTATTTAACCAAAGAAACGTCCCCTCTTTCATTATTTTCTGATCGAGATAAAACTAAAATTGCTAAAACAATTCTAAAAAATATAAAAGAAAACTGTGAACACGATATAGGCTTTCCACAATTTCCTTTTCTGAAGCAGAGTACTTGTTTGACTGATTTAATTGGACTAAAATCAAGTAACATTCTAAATTTATTCGGATATTCAAATGAGGACGGCGGTTGGTTGGTAAAATCCCCAAAGTTTTGGAAAGCTAACACAAATTTTAATCACATGTTTGAGCATATCAAATCACTGAAATCTGTAAACGATACAGCAGAAGGAGCTGTTAAACTAATTCAAGACGATGCAACATCTATTACAAAAGATGATGAGCAGAAAGAATTTCTCTTACGTGCAGTAGAACACCACCGAAAAGTTCTTCCTCACATAAATAAACAAGCAATTCAAAAACTTAATTTTTGAAAATATGCTTTAAACAATCTCTTTTATTATACCTTGAAAATATTGTTATTTTGTTGTTATAATTTTAAAACAATGAGATTTTTAATTTCTTAGTAATAATTGAGTATTTATCAAGTTTTTTGTTTTAATTAAAAATTATAATTTATAAAGTTCCTTATTTAGGCAGAAAAAAATCATACAACAAAGGTATTATTAAAAAGGAATGGGGGGGGGGTCATAAACCAGGTGAAAATTTATTTTTAATAAATTTTCATTTTTATTTATTACAAAATTATTTGAAATTATGATAACAGTTAATTATATTGGATATAAATAATAAATATATAAAAGGAGTATATTAGGAATTGTTTTAGGGCAAAAACACATTAAAGGGGTTATAAGGAGGGGGGAGGACCGAATATGAATTTTTTTGAAAATAACTATTGATTAAGTTTTATTAAACAAAATTACACAAGAAAATTATAAAATATGCGAACATGGTTTATTATCAAAAATAATTTTAGTCCTTTGTGTCATTTTTTAGAAAAACACACAAAAGAGCGGCAGGGGGGGTCAAATATGAAAATTTTTTGATTTTTTTTTTTTTTTTTTGCTTTTAGTAGATAAAAATACATATGAAACTGATTAAAAATCTAGAAATAATTAAAAACTAAAAAAACTCATGTCATTTTGGGACACCCTAATATGGACTGCTAATGGAGAAAAAATCAAGACTTATAGGTCAGAAGAACAATCAATTTTTGAACCTGGAATCCTTAGGTATAATGGCGGTAAGGACTTTAGGACTCCAGAACTCCGGGCTTAAAAACAATAAGTTCCAAGTCATTAAACAACATCAATTTTTTTCTTATACCAGATCATTAATCAACCAACTTGTTTAGAGCTTCTGGACACCAGAGACCATAAAAATATAAAGTTATAAAGCCAGAGTCTTTTTGGGACTCCGCATCTATATGCGATATATATATATATATATATATATATATATATATATATATATATATATATTTAAAAATTTTTTTCACTAATTTTTTTTTTTAATTTTTTGAAGGAAAAATTACCGTTCTCTAATTTAAATTTACTGGTAAATTTTATCTGTAAATTTTAAATCAAATTTTACAGGAAAATTTACATCCCTAATACTTATGTCAAATGAGAATGTTTTGCAAAAAGTTGAAGTGATTGGAGCTTAACCACAACTTTCCACGAATTTCAAATTCCATGCAATAACCTCTTAGTTTTTAGTTTTTATGACCCTACAAAGTTTAAGGCCCCCTCAAATTGAGGGGGGTTAAAACTTTATATAATCATAATTTTCAAAATATAAGAAATTATTGGATGAAATTTGAAATTTGTTTATGAATATAAACTTAGATAAAAATACTAAAAAAATTATTTTATCAACTTGTTGCTCCCACGTTAAGGGCTGGGTGGGCCCAAAAATTGGGGTTTTTTTGTCCCCAAGCTCTTATCACCGCAACTCTTTGCGGTGATATATATATATAAAATTAATAAAACAAAATATTTCAGTCATTATTTTTTCGGTTTTTTAAAAAATAAAATTTACTAGCCATGGCCAAGTTGTCAAAATAAAATATTGTATGCGTGATCATATAAGGCGTGTGATCACATGTGTCTCCTGAAAAAGCTTGAATATAATAGTTCTGCATAACACCAATATATCTATATGTATGATACAGTTTTTTAATTAGCAAAAAACCACAATAATTTTCTAAAGGCCTTTTACTGTAAAATTTTTATATTAAAAAAATGTAACCTACAACATATAGTAACAAAATAATACCTGCTGTTATCTGAAAACTTAATAACATTGTTGTTGTTAGAAAATAGCTGGGTACCACATACCATGTCCATTAAGCATTTCTCTTTTTCTTTTCCATCAAAAATGATTTTACCTTTAAAAAACCAATGTCTAGAATGTTCACTGTTAGATTGTCCAAGATCAAAACATTCTACATTTGTTGGATTGCGACATACTTTTTCTTGAAATAGTTGCGTATAATAATTCAAATCCCACTCATCAAAAGCTAAGCCCAAGTCAACATTAGCAGTCTCTAAAGCAGCTTTTCCTTTACCTAAAATATCTATTTCATATACCTCATTTGGTTTTTCATTAACTGTAAAAGATTTAAGTTTGCTAATGTATGGCATTTCTGTCATTTTATCGTAAAGAAAGTTTTCAACAATGTTTTTTATTTTGTTGAATTCTAAAGTTGAAAGTGACTCTTTATTGGAACAATTTATTTCAAAAACATAACATCTTGACATTTCGATTCTTTTGATATTATTCAAGCCAATACTATGACATATTGAAACAGCATTTGTTGAAAAAGGAGTAGCAAAGTTTAACCGTGGACCTACTTCAATAAAGAAGCCATTTTCGATCAACAAGTTTGATGTATCTGAAACATTGTGTTCTTCAAAACTATTAGCTAAAAGCCATTTAAGCTGAGCCAATTCATTGCATTCTATATCTCTGGTGTAACCAATATTAAAGCAAACTTCAGTTTTTATATTAAATTTAAAATATGGTAAACTCTGTTCTATTTTCTTAACTAGTAATTGACTGAACGATTCATTTAACCCAGGTGACTTGAATAAATGTAAAACTTCCATGTAATACTATTTTACTAATATGTACATAAAATAAATTTATATATATATATATATATATATATATATATATTATATATATATATATATATATATATATATATATATATATATATATATATATATATATATATATATATATATATATATATATATATATATATATATATATATATATATATATATATATATATATATATATATATATATATATATATATATATTAGTGTTTATAGATAACAAATTGTTATTAGTTTTTCCTACCTTTATAGCATATGAGGTTTTCAGAAAAAGAAGGGAAAAAAAATAAGAATAATAAAAGAAAAGATTGCTGCTCATGCCAAACCCTCAGTCAATCTAGCAGCACCCCTTTATTTTTATTTTAGTGTGACGTATACATGTATATATATATATATATATATACATATATATATATATATATATATATATATATATATATATATATATATATATATATATATATATATATATATATATATATATATATATATATATATGTATATATTAATGGTTTAAAGCCACAATAGACACATGTCCAACTTTTTAGACAATACTACTTCTTGGCAATTAATTCATAATATAATATGCAACTAAAACATTAACATAAACTATAATATATATTAATTAAATTAAACAATTTAAAGTTAATTTAATAATTAAATTTAATTATGTATATACTGAAATAAAATAGTTATTATACAAAACATAACTTACTCATATATAAAAGTGATATAACTAGAATTATAATTAAGAAGTTAAAATTCCATTAGAATGCAAGCTTCTGTAAAAGATACAATAAAATAAATCATTATGCTTATGTGTTTATTATTAAGTTTTTACTTCAATTCATTAGGTTTATATGATCTTGCTTTAGCCATATAGGCTGAAGCAATTAAACCTATTCATTAACAGGTTAATTAAAGTTTTTTGGGCCAAAGAATCATTGAGCTAATAAATTTTATAAGGTTAACAACAATAAAACTACGCAAGACAATGTAGTAAGTAACAAAGTAAGCATAACTTTTAATACTTTTTTTTTTAACTAAAAATATTGACTTAATGGCATAGTTATTACATTGTAAAAAACATCTGTCAAAAATGGCTTTTACCAAAATATATGTTAAACAACAAGAAAACAAACACAAAATTGATAAGTATATTAAAAGACTACATAAGATCAAAGTCATCTCGAATATCATTATACTCCATAACATGTTTTCTAATTTTTGATGAATCTACCCATGTGATATAGTCCTCCATATTACGAGGTACTAAATAAGCAGGATCTTGAACAACTTCTGGACCAACTCGCACATGACCTTGTTCAATATACTTTACAGCATCTTTTATATGTTCAGCCATTTTGATTCTATGCATAACAACAGGTAATCTTCTTCTGCAAAAGGAAGATGAAGTAACTTTTTCAATTAAAGAAAAATCTTTGCAATCATTTACAAGACCTAAATTATATAACTTTAACAAGAGTTTTTTTGTACACTCGATACGATATGGATCTTTAGGACTCAGCTCTTTAATCTTTGTTGCTAACTGATGAACAGAGCCACACAGTTTGTTATACTTTGTGTAGTCTTCAGATTTCTGAATGTGGTATTTACGCAATATCTTGTTTTCTCGTAGAGTACTATCTTTCTTCCAGTCAATAAAATCAACCTTTTTTAACAATTTTTGCTCATGAAATTTAAGTTTCCGAACCATTTTTATTAATATAATTTAATATAATGTTAATGATATAATACTAAATAAATTAATATAATATATAAATGGCATAGCATATATTATATAAAATATAAATACTAATATAACCTTATATAAACCATTTATTATTATAACAACATTATCTAATGCATAATGTTTTTATATTATATATATTGTAAAAAATAAAATAATAGTACATAAACTATAAAAACTTATATTGAAGATCTTTCAAATTTTTGAAATTAAACTCTCAAATGAAAACTAATTCATTATTTTGATTTTCTGAATTCTAGATAATTTAAATGATAGGTATAAGTTATAAAAAATAGTTATAAAAAACATAAAATATAACAATTAATACATTAAAAAACAAAGGTAAAGTTATGCTCAACCCTTGTCTATATCCTTAACAGTAAAACAAAAACCTCATTTTTTTATTAGTAATATTTTGTTCTTCAGATTACCTAAAAGTTCAACACAATCTAGGAAACATTTCAACAACTATAAAATAGTTAATTCTTTTTTTATTATTTTTATTATTATTATTTTTTTCTAATTTTTTTTTTTCAAATTGTCTTGTCTAACTTTTTATGATTGGCATTTTTGTTACAAAAAATCAAGCTCACAAACATATTTTGTTACAAAATAAAATTTCTTTACAATTAAGATTTTTGTTATAACAAATTAAGTTAACATATAAAAAAAAGTTAAAGGTTTTAATTCTAATTTAGAGTGAAAAAAAAAAATTAAAAAATACTTAAGAGCATTTCCATTTCTGTGCATGATTTTTTATTTTTCTTTGTTTTAGCAATTAAAAGCTGGGACTTAAACCAATATGCATACTATTATAACTTTCTTAAAAAACATTTATAACAAAAAAATTTTATTATATTTTAGGCTACCTGAATAAATTAAATATATATATTTTGATCATTTCATTTTTTTTTTGCGTAATAATATCACTACAGTTTGGAAATAAACAACAATTTTCAAAACGCTATACTTTAGCTAGAAATAAATGACGATTGCCATTTCTCATCAAAAATATATTAAATATGAGTCATAGAAGTATAATATTTCACTTAAAATACTCACAAATAATTTATTTTCTAGAAAATATCTACAGAAAATTAACAAATTTTCAATTTCTGTGCATGACTTCTGTATGTGATCATTCATGAACTGCATTTAAACGATAGCTGTGACTCTAAGATACATATGCAATCTTGTAACTTTCTGGAAAGCTTTACTGTTTAAAACATTATTTAAATATATATATATATATATATATAATGCTGAAACTTATATTTTCAGAGAAATTAAAGTTTATTTATCTAGTAACTAAAATTTGAGTTTCTCTGTTCTGTGCGTGATTCTGCTTGAAACTTAATTTATTCTTTGTTAACATTACTAACAACCCTAGGAATTACCTAACTGCCGACCTGAGAGTGTTTTAGGTCGGCAAAAAATTGTTGACCTCGTTTCTATGTTTTATGGTCAGACCTTTGTATCAAATAATTTTTGTCGACCTGATGCCGACCTTAAAAAGATTGAGGTCGGCAAATTATTGCCGACCTCATTTTTCTTAATTCCGAGGGTTGTACTAATGTATACCATTTTTTGTTTACAAAATATTTATATAGGTTAGAATTAAATGAGAGCAAATTGGAGATTTGCCAGCCAGTTTTATTATTATGAAAATAATAGGCAAAACATATATGAGCTTGCATGTGTGATTTTTTTGAAATGCACTTAAGAAAAAAATCAATAGTGAACTTAAACTAAAAAAACAGGAAACAAAACATAGAATAACAGGTATGTTATTTGAACATTTGTGAACAAGTAGTTAACAACTTTGACAATAGACATATTACAAAAAAAAAATTATTCAAAGAGAATAAAAAAAAAAAAATTAAAAACCCATTAAGAAAAAAAAATTAAAAACCCATTCCTTGCAGCAAAGTAATAATCTCCCTTCTAAAATATCCACAAGCAACAACTTTTCCATGCTTTTCGTCTATGTTGATCACAGTAGATTTACCTAAACGCCATTTTAAACAATCTTTTAACGAATTAAAATTGCCTTCTACGTTTTCTATTGTAGTAAAAAATTTGTTTTTAACTCTAGTTACATTTGCAATAATTCGATTCTTTTTGTTTCTATGAACATTAAAATCTAAAGCTGGTGCAGGAACCATCCTATTCAACCATCCATTATGTGATTTTCCAATTTCATCTAGTCTATTGATATATACAGGAAAAGATTGATCCAAAAGAACAATAGATTTTAAAATAGAGTCTTGGCGTACAACTTGATAATCTCGCTTTGGTTCCCACTTTTCCCATTTGTAAAGAGCAAATTGAGTAGAAAATGTTCTTTGAAAAATTAATTTTGTTGCCAACTGTTTCAACAATACCATTATAAAATATTTTCTAAAATACTTTTACCAACACTAAATATTAATAGCAGATATCATTAAAAAAAAATTATTGTAAATTTATTTTATGATCAAAAAAAAATTCTTAAATTTATATTATTGGGTATTACAATCAAGTTATAAAACATAAATAAAAAAAGAAACCTACACCCACCTAAACTCACTCAGGTTTAAGGAAGAGAACTAAATCTAGTAAATATATTGATCTTAAATCTGCACCCACACTCAAAAAAATATAATTACGAAACTTTAATTATAATAAAATGTATAAAAATTATGCAAATAATTTTTAATAAGTAGATGCAAAGAGTAAATACAATTAATGTCAATTAAGTTGTATTTAATTTTTATAAATGAACTTATATAAAATTATTTATGTAAGTTACTTTATTATAATTATTCGAACAGTTTTGATAGAAAATTGAATTTTATTAAAACTTTAGAAACCAACCAATTTTACTATAACACTATAAATGAACTACAAATTAATAAAGTACTTCAAATGTCTTCTTATAAAATATGATTTAGAGTTTAAGTTACCATTTGAAGTGACATTAAAATTCAGAATTACAATTACATATCTAATTTTAAAACCAATATATACTGAATTTTTCTTTAAACTATAAACAATTGAAAAAATTTATTGTCTTGAAAATTTCCTAAAGATCACTGCAAGTATGCAGACCTAGGGTCTATTAATTATAATTCTTGATATTTTTTATTTCAAATAGTGAAAAAAATAAATAGAATTCTTATAATATTGTTATTATAAGGGTTATTATAATAATAATTCTTATAAAAAATAAATAGAATTCAAATAGAATTCTTTTTTCAAATAGTGCTAAACAATATAAATTTTTTTTTAATTCTTATTAGAATTTAGAAATGCAATTTTGAATCTTAAAATGTTTTCACATAATTTCAAAAAGCTTTTTTTTTTTTAATCGTTTTTACCAAGTATAAACTTATTTTTTTAAGTTAAAATCTAAAGATTTTGAAAAACTGAAGGATTCTTAACATACAAATATTAAAACATCTTTAACACCAGGATGAATATAAAAAGTTAATAGTTAGCAATATTCCTAAAAGTTACTTTTTTTTTAAAGACTAGATCTAGAACCCTTGAACACTAGATCAAAAACACCTAGGTCTGCCGATACTATCTTTGTGCACACAACTTTGATTTAAAAAAACTTCAAAAAAATTGCATATGTACAAAATTGAAAAAGAATCTAAACTAAATTTAATTATTATTCATAAAACTTTAAACAAAAATAAAATAACAACATTATTAATAAATAAAAATTTTATTTTTTTACATTATGAAAACTTTTTGTTTTGAAAAATAAAAATTACATTTAGAACTCTAACTCCTTCAACAGCCTGATTAATTTATCTTTGTGATTTCCTTTTATATGAATTTGACTGGTGAGCTCGTTGATTTGGTAATGATAATTGTCACCTAAATGCAATCTGATTACCCTTTCAAGTTCTTTTAAATCTCCTCGAATTTTTCTTACTGTAGTAATAAGTTTTCTACCTCCTGATTTAGCAGAAACATAAACTGGAAGATTATTGGTACGAGTTCGATCAATATCAAAAGGAAATTCTGGATTTCCTCTGGGAACCCAGCCACTTGGAGATTTTGCAATTTGATTCAATCTCTCTTGTTTTACTTCATATGAAAAACTTTTCTGAGTAGATGTTGACACAGATGTAGAGTCAATTGCAGTTGCAAGATGTCTTTTAAATACTATTGTATTCCATTGAAGACAACTTCGAATTCCTGATTTAATCATCTTGAAGAAAGAATTTTTTTTATTCTAAAAATTATTATATAAATCAAAATATATTTAAAAAAATTTTTTTACCAAAATTGATTTAGATATTGTTTAGGTTTGTTTAGGTTGTTTAGGTTAGGTATAGTTCATGTTTAAAAATTTTTATCAACAGTAATGTTTGTACAATTTTTGTTTTTAAATATAAGTTAATAAAAACCAGAAATATTGAAAGAAAACTAAATCAAGCTCAATTAAAGCTATTTAAAAATCAAAACTGAAAATATAAAAAAATAATTATTATATAATTATAAGCATAATAAGTAAAAAATAATTACAAACTTGGTTTAAATTCAAAACAATTACTATATGTATCTCTATAATAGTTATAGTAATTTATTGTAAATTTATTTTCAAACAAAATATTTAGTATTTATTCTTTTTTTTTTTGTTGTTTGTTTGTTTTTTGTTTGACAAATCCATTCCTATATTACATAAAAATTGACAAAAAACTACATGATTTTCAACTAGATATAAATAGTTCTACGTGGTAAAGAAGTTTTTACATAGGCTCTAATCACTTTTTTTATTTCCAAAGCAAATTTTGTAAGCTTAATAAAACTTTGTTTTATAAAGGATCAATTTTAATACCACCAGTCTTAAAGTTTTTTCTTTTATGTTACTACAGTAAAAAAATTTGCAGGTAAAACCAAATTTAATTTTTAAATGTGGTAGGATATTATTAACTGTACAGATTTAGTAATATTTGCAATGTGGTTAGAGTTAGCATACAACAGATATTCAAATGGCTCTTATTAATAAAAAAAACTATAGTAAAAAACTTTTTCAAAAAATAGCCATGAAAATTTTTGGCTTGATTATTTGATAAATTAAACATAACATAGTGAAAATACCTAGTGTTCTTTTGCTAATGGTATACATAATGTGATGTATAATATATTTAAAACAATTTAGTTCCATATTATAAGCTCCACTATATTTAGTTCAATGGTATTTTTAGTAAATACTAAAGACTTTTTTGATTGAATTTCAATTGATTTGTATAAAATTTAAGTATTTAATAAATATTTACTAAATTTTTTTAGAAAAATTTAAAATTTTAGCTAAATAATTGAGCACATGCACTTTATAAATATATTACAAAAACTGTACTTTAAGTAATCGAAAAGCAATTATTTCACGATTGAAGAATAAAACTCGTCTCAAGACGGGTAGGTTAGTTTGAAGCTAGAACCTAGCTATTTAGGATATCAATCCAGATTAGGCCAACTAGGTTATCTAGACAAAAAATAGAACAACTCAATAAGTATTTGCCTTGCAGAAAATAATACTGTACAGACAACCAACAAAACCAATATCTTATTTTTAATAGGAAAAAATCGAAAATTTGATACTTAATAAGCATTTTAATTAAGTGATCGCGTGAAATCAACGACCACGCTTCCACAAATTTATTTTCTTTTTTCTTTTTTAGACGTTAGAATTACGCGGACAGGGGTATCCAAAATTACATTTTTTTAGATTTTATGTAGTTTAACCAACTTTTCTAAATTAATTTTTTATAAAGATGGGTAAGCTTTATAAAAAACTAATTAAGAAATATTTCTAAATTACTTGAATCTTGATTTCACAATGGCTTTGATATTTAAGTAAGTAACCTTAGGAATTTTTGTGATCGACGATATTTCCGAAGCCGATTGCAAAATTTTGATTTGTAGATCTCGACCAGCTATATTTTAAATTTAAACAAATAGCAATATTTGAGTACATTATTACAAAGTTGAGTTAAAAATAATAAAAACAAAAAACTACATATATATATATATATATATATATATATATATATATATATATATATATATATATATATATATATATATATATATATATATATATATATATATATATATATATATATATATATATATATATATAGTCTTGCTTGGTAGTCGAAACCAGACCAGAAATAGTTTAAAAACTTGAATAATTTTTTTTTTTATTAAATGATAGACTGCCTGCTCTAACCAAACCCTCAGCAGGGCCGACGACACGGATTTTAAAGTGGATGGGCACAATCATCAATTTGTTAAAAAAAGTCCTCTATATCAAAATTTTTCTTTTAAAAATCAAAAAAAAAAAAAAGAAATTCCTTTAGAAAACGTGCACCCTCCCCCCCCCCGTGTCGTCGGCCTTGCTCAGTCGATGTAACAGCACTCCTTTGCGAGTCAGGCTATTTGTCAGTCGATGTAGCAGCACTCCGTTGCGAGTCAGGCTATAAGATAGTCGATGTAGCAACACTCCGCGTATGTTTTAAAAATAAAACAACAACAAAGACACCATTAATTGAAAAAAACTTTCTACACCTTTTCAAGATGTAAATGAGAACATGAAAGTTGTAATTAAGAAGTCGTAATATGTAATTAAGAAACACAACATGTAATTGAGAAAACGTTATATGTAATTGAGAAACACAACATGTAAATAAGAAGTCGTAACATGTAATTAAGAAACACAACATGTAATTGAGAAAACGTAAGATATAATTGAGAAATCATTATATGTAATTGAGAAATCGTAACTTGTAATTGAGAACACATAAATTAAAATAGCAAATTTACAGTCTAAGTTTGTAGGTTGTTACAAAAGGTCTTTTTGGACATGAATTTAAGTTATAATCTTAAATTTTGCTTTTGTATGCACAAGTAATAATAATGGAATTGAAAGATCGTTGTGTTATATGCCAATACACTATGACCCGAAAGTCTGTGATGAAGCTAAATCCGTGTCAACATTTATGTCACCAAATTTGTTTACGTCCAGTTCTGGAACAACCAGATTCAAGTTGTCCGATTTGTCGGCATGAAATACACACAACTGAACAAGTTGAAAGGAAACGTTACGTTTTGTCTTTTCAAAATGACAGGAGAAGAGATGTTGAATGTGCGGAGCGATTTGAAGATTGGGTGAATCTCGCGCAAACGCTAGGTATCAAATATAAGACGTTAATTTGCTATTGTTGTTGTGCTAACATAAACGTTAGCACAACAACAATAGCAAATTACCTCGAAGGCAGATTGTTCTCATTAAAAAAAGAACAGTTATGAAAACAAACAAAAAAGAGCTGAATATGTTAGAAACATCAACGAACATATCACAAATGGTCGTCAGATAGTTTGGTTGGATGAAACAAATTTTAACCTTTTTTGTAGAAAAACGCAAGGACGCGCGAGACAAGGAAAAAGAGAAATTATGAAAGTACCTGCTTCAAAAGGTTTAAACATACACTTGATCGCAGCTCTTTCAACTACAAATGTCGTCATGATAGAAACTCGCAGGGGATCATTTAAAGCAGATTCCTGTAACGAGTGGATGTTGGCTATGTTTCACCAGTGGGTTACATCCGGGAATCGTTTGGAGGATTTGATCGTCGTAACAGATAATGCTCCTTGTCACGCTCAAAGGGTGTTTGATAATTCACCAGCTCAGTTGTTACGTTTGGGACCTTACAGTCCAATGTTGAACCCGGTGGAAACGATCTGGTCCAAAATTAAAAGTAACGTTAAAAATGCAATTCGCATTCCACCTGTATTAGGTGACGGGATTGCGGAACAGCGCATGCAGTACTTAGAACGAATTGTAATTGAGGCGAAAAATACTATAATGGGAGGAGATTGTGCACGTGCGGTACAACACACAACCACGCACTATGCAACTATTTTAAATATGGAAGACGTACAAGTTGGTGCTTAAATGATCAATGAAGTGATTTTTAATTATAATTTTTAATTGAATTATAAATTTTTCCCTAAAATGTTTTTAGTGTTTATTATGTTAAATTCATTTGCCCAAAAATTATAAATTTTTACGTAAAAAATTAAATTTACGCTACAAATCTTGCGTCATTTTTAAGTGCGTCATTTTATACGCTCCATTTTTTTACGCGCCATTTTTTTTAAGCGCCATTTTACACTTACTCCTTTAAAGCGATATCTAAATTAAAATTTTCGTGTTCTCAATTACATCTTTCTATTTCTTAATTACAGCTTACATTTTCTCAATTACATGTTACGATTCTTAATTACAATTTTCGTTTTCTAAATTACATCTTATGTTTCTTAATTACAACTTACGTTTTCTCAATTACATCTCACGTTTTTTAATTACAACTTTTGTTTTCTCAATTACATCTTACGATTCTTAATTAAAATTTTTGTTTTCTCAATTACATCTTGAAAAGGTGTAGTCATTATTATTGCTGTTTTTTTAAAAAAACAATAAAATTTAATGTACTTTTGCATTAATTTAATTGCTTTGACATTTCGACGACAATAAAATGTAGCGTAATTGTCTAGGTAGCAAAATATATATATTAAAGTTTTAAACATCTGAAACTTTAGATGTAAAGACAAAATAAAAAAACTTAGTCTTAATTCAAAAATATAACTATTCATATACGTAGCTATGAAAATAACTGTTTTGACAATATTATAGATCTGTCACAATTTGATCAGTCAAAAATCTTTCAGAAGCAATTATCTTTTCAGAAGTTGATGGCATATTTACTACATAACCATTTAACAAAACATAAAAAGTAAAAGTGTTTTGTGAGCACTACCAAAACAAATTGCAATCCAGTTGCATCTTGCTGTTTTAACAGTTTTTTTAGTTGCATGTTACTCTTATGACTACTACTACTACTAATGCTTATTGTGCCAGTTAAGTCCAATTGCATATCACTTCTCATTAAATGGTAGACATGCATAAGTATATAATAAGTATCCACAGAAGAAACAATTCCATTTATAGTATTCGGAGTTAAAATAATATTGTCTTTAATCAAAATTTTCTTTCCTTTTATAAGAAGGATTAGTTTTATCAGTTGCAGTTAGTTTTACTTAAATCGACATCTTTTTCCACCTTTTTTGTCTATGGTACTCAACCCATCATTTTATCTTGTTGGCATTAAGTTCAAAAATAAAGCATTTTTTAAAAATGCTTTACGATCATTTTTACTAACAAAAAACCTCGTTCAAATTTTTTTTCCAATGCCATTATAAACTTATATCACAATAATAAATTTTATTAAAGCTACATTACACTTCATAGAGCAGCTATGCTTACAGGACCAGTTTTGGACATTTGTGAGAAATGACCTGGTTAAGAAAAGAAAAAAATAACTTTTCATCAATAAGACATATTGTCTCACACAGCTCAAAAAATCAGCGCAAAATTCAGTGAATTAAAGTATGAATTGTTTCAACATCTACCATACACACCAGATTTGGTTCAGTGTGACAATAGCCATTAGTTGAGTAACAAATGGCTATTCACACATTAAAAAAAATTCATGTGTTGAAAACAATTTTCATAAAACAAAGAACTTATAGAAGTTGCGTAAGTTTATTTCGAAAGTCTTCTGGATTCTCACTTCAGGGATGGAGTCGATAAATAAGAAGATCGTTGAAAAAGTGTATTGGAGTTCACGGCGATTATATTGAATAACAAACTGTATTTTAAACACTAAAATTTTGATTTTTTTAATAAACGTTAAAATTTGTTGAACAACCTGGTAAACAAATATAACTCAGAACAATAGCATATATAAAAACAATCTTGTAAATATTGGCCTACTTTATGTGCTGCAGGTATTCATATTTAATAAACCATTTTTTTTTTTTTTTTGGATCACCCATAAAATGGTTATTTTTACCAATTTTTTGAATCTCGAACCATTCATTTTTTTGATTTTTATCAAGATTAAAAGTTACTTTGTTACACAATTGCTTTAAACATTGCTCAGGTTGATATCTTGAGTTAGTCAAAAAAAAAAGCGCCTAGTTTTTTTGGTGCCTTTAAATAGGCAGATTAATATTACAAGCTAAAAGCCAATTTACAAAAATGATTTAGAGATTTAAAAAAGCCTCATGAAACTGTCGAGTAAGCATTTACTATAATTAAAACAGATTAAACAAAACGTTTTTATATGCTGATTTTATTATCATTACCTCCTCTTATATCGAGCGTCAAAAGCGTCTAATTAGTTATCCTGAGCAATAGGTTTTTAAAACCGAAATGAGTCGAGAGCAGTTTTTACATTTATAAAGCTCAATTTTACTTAATATCTCAAAAAGTATTGTATATTTTTGATGTTACAAAAAGTATTATATACTCTTCTTCCTTGATTAATACTTCATTACAAGCAATGCAAGCAAAATAAAATAAAAACAAAAACAAGGTAGATAACATAAAAAAGCTTTAGCCTGTTCCTTTTTTTTAATATTATAAAATACAACATTTTTTCTTTCAAATTTTTCTTTTAAAATACATTATAAATTAAAAAGAAAATTTAGTTGCCAAATAATAAAGTTAAGTTGTAGGATGAAGAAACAACGCAACAATCACAAGTTTTCTTCTAAATTTTTTTCAAATAAGTATTTGTTGCGTTTTTATTAAATGCTATAAACGTTTTTGTATTATTCGGACGTACTCGGTACAACTAAATTTTATTACTTCAAAACGCATAGGGTAAAGTGACCAAATTCCAGCCGCATCTTTACAAAATTGTTTCTACAGACATATTAACAAAGAGGTCTATATGAAAATTATACATTTCTAGAAAGATAAATCTTTCAGCATTTAGGATATAGTTACAGTAATTTTTATAAATAAAAAATATTTGATAAAACAACGATTACAAAAAGTATATAAATTTGACCAAAATACAGCCACTATGACCAAATTTCATCCAGGCGTATGCGGAATGAACCTAATTACAGCCAATATAAATAACAAGCTTTTTATAATACTTTTATGGGTTGGCATTTAAAATATTTTAAAATTAATTGAATTACTAAATATTGAACCAATAATTTTTTTGTATATAAAAAACAAAAAAATTAAAAAAATTAAAAAAAAATAAATCTTTTATTTACTTAACTTTCTACTAACTTTATCTTCCTTCTTACTAATAATGCAATATTATCTTATCTTTGATATCATTATTTTGCTTATTATATTATTATTGCTATATTATAATTTACTACTTTATTATGATAGCCTTTTATGTTATCTATTATCATTACTATTAGTATTAATATAGTTATATTTATTATCGTTATAATTTTACAATAATTGTTTTATATCATCGTAGGTCTTTACGCATCATCAGTTTTTAACTGTTTGTAAATGTCCCTCACTATTGTATATATATATGCAGTTATTAAGTGGAAATATATTGATTGATTGATTGATTGATTGATTGATCGATTGATGTGATCTTAAACATCAGTTAGAAAATGATTGCTTAACTTAATACTAAGCATTCATCAACAAATAAACTTAGTAAGGATGCCTAAATCTAAAAAAAATAAGTTTTCAGGACATGATTTTAAAACTATTCAAAAATGATTTTGAAACTATTTTAAAAGATTTGCATAGAATATAATATTCACATTAATAAAAAAAAAGAATTCAGTGAACTCTATAAAAGACTTTTTGAAACACTAAGAACAAAATTTCATAACAACATGATCAAATTACACATTGCTTTTTTATACTTTTATTGGTTTTATTTTTATAGCAACGGTTTTTTTCTAGGATTATCTTTTGACAATACCGTTGCTTCCTTTATTTTTAAGTTTTGTAGTCTTTTCAATTTACGCATTTCTTTTTCCTTTTCATTTTGAGCTTGTTTTTGCTTCTGCTTTAACTGTGTCTCATATGCTTTCTTAGAAGTAAGCACAAAAAAATTGTCTGCATTCTTAGCTTTTTTGCTCTTTGTAAAATTTGGATAAGAATATGGCAAAATGTCATTATTTCCATATCCTGGATAAGATGAATTTTTAAAGGGGAAATTTAAGGCAAAAGATCTAGTTTTTGCAAAATCAGAAGCTAAAAGAGTTGAAACTGTAAAATCAACTTCATGCTGATCAATAGGCTGTTCAATTTCAGAGTAAGACATAATCCTAAAGCTGTCTTGAAACTTACTAGTAGCTTTATTACTTGCAGCTTTTAGTTCTATAGTTTTCATATTTAGTTCCACTAAATCATCACTCCTATGTTCTACTACGGTTATTGGTTCAGCTAAATAGTCGTGATCATTTGCTACAGCAAATCTTGGGTTGGTAATTAGATGTTATTCCAACTCAATATCTGGTAAAAGTACTTTTGTGCTGTCTGTTGTTTGCTTAATCTGCTTAACTATTGTTGTATTATCAACTGTTTTAATTTGATCAAAGAGATTAGTCATTAACCTGTCTTCTGAATACACATAGTTTGGCAAGTAAGCTTCAGCTGGAATAATTGAAGGATTATATGGAAAGATTCCACATGATTTAAAGCCAGATATTCAATATTAGCTTTTGTCATACTTTTATTCCAGGCTTTGGTTAAAAGTCCTGTAAAATTAGCCTTGTTTATTATAACCCCAGGGTGATTAGACATCATATCCTGGGCTGCTTTATTATATGAAACTTTGAATGGCTTAAATACAGTTCGATCACAAGGTTGAAGCCAATTGCTTGTATGAGCAGGTAATTCAACAATTTCAATTCGGTTTTGTATGGCCATATCTATTAACTCTACGAAATTATGGGAATCGTGGCCATCTAAAATTAAAACTTGTGGACGTTGTGGTCCAATGTTTTTTAAAAATGTAAGCTCAAACCATAGTTTTGCAATCCCTTGTTTAGTCCATCCAGATTCACTTGGACTCCAGTTGGTTTCTTCAGGGGCATCTAGAACTTGAAAACTTTGAAGGGATTTTACTGTCTTTCCTTTTGGAATCACATGAGGTGGTAAGGCTCTTCCTGCTGCATTCACACAAACAATTAAAGTAATCATTTCTCGATTTCCACTTGTTCTCATATGTAAATATTTTGTACCTTTTGCAGCAACTATTTTGTGCGCCTTAAAGTCTAGCTGCAGTCCTGTCTCATCCACATTCCATATTACTTCAGGCTGACAGTCTTTAATGACTTCTTTAAGTGCAGTAAAATAATTTGCCACCTTTATCAGATTCATGCATTGATGACGAACTAATGCTGTTGATTCTGGTTGTCGAAGAGTTACTTTTTTGTTATGTCGATTGTTAAGTAGTCGCCACCATTTATTAGATGGTTTGCCATTCTTAAAAGAATATCCATATTTTTTGGCAAGCTTGCCAGCATTTACCAAGAATTGTTCTTTTCCAAAACCAATGCCCATCCTAGCTCTGTTGTCTGCAAAATAGAGTAACTTTTTTTCAAGATCAAGCGGCATTAAACTTTTTCTTCCTGCTTTTGCACCAATCTCAACTTTTCCATTTATCCTGCTATGCAAAGTTGTACGGGGTACTTTAAAAAATTTAGCAGCAGCTCTAACAGACATTTTAGGTGAACTAATAACACTGTTTATAGCTTCAAGTAACACTTCCTCTTTTTATTTCATATATTTACCTCGAGTTGGATGACATTGTTTCTTATTATAAATTTTATTTTTATTATCAGCCATTCTAAAATGAAAACTTTATATTATAAATTATTAAAATTTTCAATTAAAGATTATTTTTTAATATAATTTCATTTATAAGTAATAATTTACATGAAACAATATAATATCTTTCAATTATTTAGACTTTTGTTTATTTTTAAGTCATCATCCTCAAATTTTAAAAATATTATATAAATATTTAACTAAATAAATGCAAATATTTAAGATTAATAACTTTTAGGACATAAATGTAACATAAAGTACTTATATTAAAAGAATAAAATCTAATAATATAAATATCATACAAGTATGAGTTACTTTTAGACACTCGTGAACCTAATTTCGGCCTTGGCCGGAATAAGGTTTATACCTGGCCGGATTTTGGTCTTTCTACCAGGTGCAATTAATTAACAAATACAATCTATAGTAATGACTCAACAAAATTATAAAGCTAAAATTGTCTTTTTAAGAAATATATTTATAGTTTAAAATAATTAACATTTCGTTAAGTAATAAATATTTAATATTTATAAGCTTCAAACTGGATGCTTACATGATATTTTAAATATAAAGTAGTACTTTTTTGAGATAAATATTTTTTATGATGTTACTTCTATTATAAACAGCCGCCAACTATAACAATGCTTTTTTTTATTGGCTGAATTCATACCAGTCTCAAAAAAGTAGCATTTACAAACATAAAGCAGAAAACAAGACAGAAATAATAAATTTAAAATGTGGCTGGAATTTGGTCACTGGCTCGAATTTGGTCAGTTTACCCTACCATGAATTCCATCGTGACGGAATCACCTTTTTGAGCTTATTTTTCACATTTATATTATAAAAATAAAAAAACTGTAATGTGCATATTGTTATTATATATGATATATGTGTTTGTCACACTTTGGCTTGAAATACTTCTAATACCAAAACTATAAATACATAATAATCATATAATATTAATATAATAATATGCGTGACGGAATCACTAATTTATGGACAAGCATTTTATGGTATATTATTATAGTAACAGATTTCTGCTCTCCTATTTAAATTTACTTAACTTCACAAGTGTATGTGTGCGTTAAAATACATACCATTTGCAAATAATTAGAAACAATTATAAATTATTTAGTAGATAACAGGGCCGACGACACAGGTTTTGAAGTGGGGGGGGGGGGGAGAATCTTGATATAGAGGACTTTTTAAAGGAAAATCTTGATATAGAGGAATTTTTTTCACAAAAAAAAATTGTGAAAAAAGTCCTCTATATCAAAATTTTCCTAAAAAAAAAAGGTCCTCTAGAAAAAAGTGGGGGGGGGGATACGTGCCCCTCAAACAAGTATAAATAATAAAACAAACTAGGCATAAAAATTCAAAAATTATATGCATTTACTCACATTAATAAAATTTAAATATAAGTTAAGAGAAATTTAGATTTATTTAAGAGCCATTATCTGAGAAAGATAGGCAAAGTCTGGAAGTGATGTCTTTAAAATCTCTTTATTTTCAGATATCTTATAAAACACAATGAAATTAGACCACAGTTAAATTTTTTTTCGAAAACAAAATACCCTAGCAACGACATAGATATGCTTAGCAACGGCTACTTTTACTCTTTAGTAGTTAGTACTCAAATTAAAAATAAATAAAAAATACATTTTTATAACAAAACTGTATAAACTGTACAAAAGTGCTTGATAAAAATTATTTTTTAAGCTTTTTTAATGTAACAAAATGCGCAACAATAGGTTCAAAGAATACGATGGCAAAAGTGTAATAACCAAAGTAAGGAAGTGACATTAAAGATACTTTTTTTAATGACTGTAATGATTGCTACACAAGCAATTCCCTTTGGGCAGTCATTTGTAATACTTTCTTTAGACAATTATTAATGATTGCAAGACTATTTCCTTGGAGACACATTCTTCTCGAAGAATTAGCACATGAATTTAATAAATAGCCATAGCATGAGATAAGAAACTACGAAATAAAGTTTTTTTGTTTTGTTATCTTTTGTTTATTCAATAAAAAATGATAAAATAAAAAATAAAAGTTAAATACAAAATGTCAGAGAGCAACAATATAGTCAGTCTCTATGAAAAATGCGTGTATTTTGATAAAGGACAGACTTCTTGTGGCCCTTTTAAGCGTTGGAAACAACATGGGATCTTTCAAGTTAATGAATTAACTGCTGACATAAGTAATCATTTACAAGTACTAAAGGTATAATTTATCAATTAATATATATATTTTTAATTATAAGCAACAATACCTCTAACAAATAGATGACAAATTTAACATTACTATTTTATAGTTACCGCAGACAAACCAGTATAATGAAAAAACTCTAATTGAAGGTCGATTACAAACTTATCTTTCATGCGACGACTGGTTATGTGCATACCACCGTTTTTCTTTTGGTATTGGATGGAAGCCGCCAAACAGATGTCAATACCCAAGTCATATATTTCAAGTTGGTAAAAAAGCACCAAAAATTAGATCCATACCTTTGAATACCCTTGCTACTTATAATAAAAGTAATTCATCGCTACCTATTGGAGCCGTATTTTGCTTCAAGCACCTAAAAACTATTTCTATAGATAATATTATTGACATGATAGAACCAATTCCAACAGTAAAGTCTAGTTCTTATGTTGATAAAGTTTATGTTCCAGATTTAGCAATCATTTCAGATAAGACCATCGAAGAATCAAAATTAAAAGCTAGTTCTTTGTGTGAAGCACTAGGAGCAAGTCCACTGTCTTTTCACATAACTTAAAAGCGAATAGAAGACTTAACACAAGGAACTAAACAGAAAGTTAAAAAAAAATTTGAGAAATGTAAAGTGCAGCTCGAGAAGATATTTGCTGAAGCAATTGCACCTGGTCAATCAGAAGCACTTATAACCCAAGTATTAAACAGTGAAGATGAAAATGTTGCAACTGAAATGGTTCCAGAAGACCTAATTGTACAAGTTAAGATGTTCCAAGAAAGCGATTCTTTAGGAAAAATTCTTTTGCTTTCAGTTGTTAATCATAATAAGTACACTAAAGAGACATTAATGAAAGTCTTTGATTGCAAAAAACATCAAATAGAAAAAGGACGCAAGTTGCAGAAAGAAAACATTGGACTTTCCATACCAAAGAAGGGTAAGCTAAAAATATGCCGAATGCCTCAAGAAAAAATTGAACATTTTTTGGAATTTTTATTTTCTCGAGGTCTGCTTCAAGATGTAGCATATGGTATAAATAAAATAAAGTTTGACAACGGAGAGAAACAAAAAGTGGCTAATGCCATTTTGATGATGAAGTTTAGCCATACAATCACATTTTATAAAGAACTTTGCCTAGAAACTAATTATGTCCCTATGTCAGATAGTTCTTTATGGAGAATTCTTTGTGGAATAAAACCTTCTCAAAGGAAATCTTTAGCTGGTCTTGATGATGTTACAGCAGCTGGCATGAACGGTTTCCAAACATTAATTGCCATTTCTGAGAAGTGGAAATATAAAAATGTTACTAAGTTTCTTGAAAAAGGTAAAAGGTATCTGAAGAGTAATTATCCTTCCAAATGTAGTGAAAATTCAACTTTGCATAGTCACTCAACTTCATTTGCCCTTTCGGATATAGATCCGGACTTAAACCAATCAAACATAACCGCTGACGATGAACAATGCATTGACTGTACTGACCTCATTTCAGTAATCAATCAGGTTCGTGAGTTGGTTATACAAAGTGAAGATGAAGATCTACTATATGATTTAAATGTGGCTACAGAAGATGTTGAAGCCTATAAGAAACATTAAATTCGTGATGCGCAGCAAAAAATGGCCAAAATAATGGCTTTTGAGCAACTTGATGAGGAAACAGGATTTTGGCTAAAGGATTTTTGTCAAAAAATATTGCCCACTAAATTTCGTGAAGGCCAAAAAGAATATTTTGGGAAAAAAGGAATGACTCTACATGTTGATATCTTCTTCTTCTATGAAAATGGTCGAATGAAAAAAAAAGTGTATTTTACTGCTGTATATAGATGTGAGCAAAGCCTTGTTGATGTACTCTGTCTCGCTGATGTTGTTTTGGCCAAAGTTAAAAATGATTTTCCTTATTTAAAAAATCTTTATGCTAAGTCAGATAATGCATCATCTCATCATGGAAACTTCTACTTAGAAGCCCTATACAATGTTTGCAAAGCAAAACAATTTTTCCTTAAAAGGTATGATTACAACGAGCCTTCGCGTGGAAAAGATCAATGTGATAGAGAGTCAGCAGGAGCGAAATGTGTCATTAGGAGTTTTGTTGACGCAGGAAACAATTTATTGACTGCAGAAGATCTATATGAGGCTCTTCATAATGGTAAAGGAATTCAAAACGCTGATGTTGCTGTAGTTATAATAAATTCCAAAGCCTCTATTTTATCAGGATCAAATCTGATTCCCAACATAAGCAGTTATCATTCTTTTCAGTTTTTCCCTGATCACATGATAATGTGGAGATACTTCCGAATTGGTAAAGGTAAAAAATGGAACTATACAAATGTGACATTCCATACTTCAGTTGAAATTGTTAAGCCCTTTAGTTTGACTTGCATAATTTATACTGCCCCAACAATTTCCAAAAAACCACGTGTTGATAGAAGAGTTAACACTTTAAAGTTTTGTACACAATTTGGTTGCACTGATTCATTTTTTGACAATGAATCATTAGAAGTACACTTGTTATCAGAAAACCACAATTTTCAATCTGTGAAGAAATCAATGGTAGAGCAAAACTATCTTATATCAACAAAATGAAAATTTCAAACCTAAATTCTTATGATTATCTGCCGTCATCCCAATCTGTCATTAAAGGGATTGAAAACTTCACAGACATCACTGGGTGGGCATTACCAAAAAGAAAAGTGTTCAGATATTCTTCAAAGCAGAAAACATTGTTAATGCAGATGTTTATGTCTGGAGAAGAACAAGGGAAAAAAATGAGCCCAGAGCAGGTTCACCAGCAGCTGAGGACAAAGTTAAAGCCAAGTGAATATGTGACAACTCAACAAATTCGATCATTATTCTCTAGGCGAGTAAATTTACTTCTATATTTACTGATACCCAAAGTATGAATGATATAAAATTTAATTTTATTCTTTTCTTGAGTTTTAAGATAAATATTTTGAATTTACCTTCATGCTTCAAGTACATTTTTTTAGATGGAGTAAACAAAAAAGAGAAGGAAAGCTAGTTACCATTTTTTGTGAAGATGCTAATCTAACTGATGACATGATTGATCTGACTGATGATGCGAGACATACAAGTCAAAATAAAGATGATGATTTAAACAACGATATTCAGCTCATAGCAAAGGAGTTAGCAGCTGATTTTCAAATTGGTGATTGGGTTGCTATTGAATATAATATGCAGTGGTATCCTGCAATAATTCAAAGTGTAAGACGTTATAACATCAAAATATTTAATTTTTGAGTATTAGATCTTTTTTATTAAGTTATATAATTATTAATTTATTAACCACAACATTTAAATGTAAGAAATATTCAGAAAGCACCAATGATTAGACGTTGTTTTACTTTTAACTTAACCCTGTAGGTCAATCGTGACAATGTTCATGTTTCTTGTATGGAATATTCTACTACACCTGGAAAAAACTGTTTCAAGTGGCCAACCAAGGAAAATATTCTCCAATATTTATATCTTGACATTATTTGTAGGATTGATGCACCAACACCAACTAATCAAAGAGGGGACTATTCTCTCTCAATAGACGATATGTATAACATAGAAATTCAGATTGACAGATAAACTTCTTTAAAACTTTATTTGGTTTGCTTTCTTAAACAAGTTGTATTTGAAAAAACGTTTATCCGAAATTTACATAATTGTTTTAACAATGATATAAACACTTCAAAGTGTGTGATGTTTGGATCTTTTTCTCATTAAAGAAGCTTAGAAAATAACTTTTATCAAACGTTTTTATACAGTTTTTTCTTATAAAAATGTATTTTTTATTTATTTTTAATTAGAGTACTAATTATTAACGAATTATAGAAGCCGTTGCTAAGCATATCTATGTCGTTGCTAGGGAATTTTGTTGGTTAAGAATGTGGCAAAATTAGACTATTTCTAGGACTTCTCTAGGCTTTTTATCGCTTAAGCACATGAATTTTTTTTCAGATATTGGAAGATGCATGTATAAGGAAACGAAATAACTTATACATTTCATGGCAGACCTAAGGCCACGATTGTTATTTGTAATCTAACAAAGCGAATTAACCGCGAAAATTCATTTTTGGAAGCTTACTCTTTCCCAGGCTCTTGCATACTCATAATTTTTTTTCTATAAATTCAATGTATACCTTATTGGCTTTCAAAAGCAGTTAAGTAAATTATGTGCAAGTTATGGCCTTAGGAGATATAAATGGTCAAAGTACGGGTAAAATTTCAAATTTAGCGGTTTTGAACCGTGATTTCTAGACAATAAAAAATGTAAACATTTTGAATTTTTATTTTAACCAGAGAAATCCACTCAGAGTAGTAGAAATAAGAAAAATAAATGAGTTTCTCAAATTCATATTGCTAAAATTGCCCCTAAAAGTAGTAATTCCGTTCCATGCACCAATATTTTTACAAAATGGGCCAAATTTCAGCCCCCGATATTCCGCAAATAATGGGAGTTTTCGAAAAAAAATTTTACTGTGGCCTAATTTTATTGTTTTCTATAAGATATCTGAAAATGAAGAGATTTTGAAGACATCACTTCCAGACTTTGCCGATTTTGCCTATATTTCTCAGATAATGGCTCTTAAATAAAATCTTCTTTGTAAATCTTTAAGTAAGTAAAATATAAAAAAAGTGAACATACAGTTAAATTGTACTGATTAAGCGGGTGTTTTTGCAATAGGTTTATTTTATTGTTTATTCATTTTTTTTGTTGTTAACAATTTTGTATAATTTAACTTTGGTTATTCTTATGTAACTCTTAAGTACGCATTAGTTTTTTTTTTAAATATTTGTTATTATGTTGAGTTCATCTTGCATTTAAACAGTGTACACTTTGTAAACCTCCAAGTGCTTCTAAAGGAATGCAAATGTTAAAAGAAAAAGTTCGAGATGAATCAAATATTTCTAATGTATGCATTTATGTAGAGCAGACATTAAAAAGGATAAAACACTTCCGTATTTTAAAAATAACACAGCCATTATTATATCTACCAATCATGAATAATATACTGTGGGTATGTACTGCTATATCAAACTTGAAAAAAATAACTAGTTTCTAAATAGTCTTTAACAAAAAAAATTTGTTTGCTAAATTATTTTATCTTTTGTAATATAATATAACGTTTTTATAAAACAATATAATGTTCCTCAACGATTATAAGAAATTTAAATTTTTTTCTGTTTAAACTACTGTTTACTTACTGTTTAAACTTTAGATCATTAGGGCTGAAAGATATGTAAAAAAAATAAGTAGTTGCTTTTTTAAAAATCATGTCTATTTAGTTTAAATTAAAAATTTCAATCCAGCTTTTTGATTGTAAAATCTTTTAAAAATACAGAAAAAAAAATCAAGAAATACAACTTTTTGTCAAAAAAAAAAATAAAAAAAATGACTATACTGATCTATGTTTTAGATAAAGGAATTAAATCTAATGACTGATAAGAAAAAATTCAATGTACTGATTGATTTGTTATAAACATATAACACATATAAAGACATACTCTTGAAGTTTAAAACTTAACACAAAGTAGACATAGAGCACATGTAACAAATCCAATCTAGAATCTGCTAATAATTCATAATTATCTTTTTTTAAATATTGCCAAGAACAGCAGAACTAAGTGCAACATATTTCACACTGAATACTGCTGTATTGTTTAAATTCATTAGCACTGATTTCTGGCTCTTTAAGTATTAACTTGTCACATTTTCCAGTGAATGTTATATGTTCTAATAGTAACAATGCTGGAGAAACATATGTTTTGAAAAAAATATCTTAAAAAAATTTTTTTTTTTACCTTATCCCAGAGCTCTTGATCAAATTTGACTAATTCAACATATAAGTCCTTAAGTGTCCAAACAATAAAATATGCTGACTTGCAATTTGGGAATTGATTTAAGCGTAATATTTATGACTTTTGATGTAACATTTATGACTTTATTACAATGATAAATGATGAAATGCTATTTCATCATTTATCATTGTAAAAAAGTTACAATCACTAGCTTCCTTTTTAATTGTCTCATTAAAAATTATAAAAGGACATTTTACTTCCAAACACACCCTTCCATGGCATTTGCATACTATAAATCCATATGGTGAACAAGCAAGATACTTTCAATATTTCTATTAAATGCTTTCAATACTTTTATTTTTACTTATACTTTACATATACTTTCAATATTTTTATTAAATGTTTTAACTTTTGATTTGGATATTACAGCAGAAGACTCGATTATATAGATGTTGTTTAAAAAAGTTTCAAATGAATGTTCATTAAAGTCGATGACTTTCAATTCTTGGACCAATTTCTTTCAATGCTTTTATTCGTGTTTTTTCCTTTTTATTAATACCATTTTCCAAACTAAAGTGCATAATAGGGCCTACAAAACCACTATCAAAAAATGAAAATGCTTTTTAGTCCTTGTACTTGCCAATATATTCCGAATTAAAGTATTTTTTTCAGGATATACGTTCTGGCAACATTTTACTTGGCAACTTTACGTTCAGTTGAACTTAACCCACGAACAGCCAAAAAACTAACAAGCTGCTTGACAGGTAAATTTAAAGAACCTTCTTATTTTTTAAATGGCATGTTAAAACACGTTGTATTTTCAAATAAACTATTTGATTTATATAAACAATAAAAAATCAGATAAGCTTCCTTAAAATGTTTTGTTTACAATTTTGCCCTCCTGATAAAAACATTATACCACGTGGTTCATAATTGCCGCTTTATTACGAAAAGGTCTAAATATACTAATAAATATAATAAAACTAGGTAAATATACTAAAATACTAAATATACTAAAACTAGGTAAGAGCGAAAAGTTTAAAAGCGAAAGAACGTAAGAGCGAAAAGTTTTAAAGCAAAAGAACGTTAAAGCGAAAAGTTTGAAAGCGAAAACCGGGAAATTGAGTATCGCGATAAGTTCAATAGCAACAACAACTAAAATTTATTGAAATTTTTTATGATTTTTTTATTATTTCAATGTTATTTTATAGATTATTTAGCGTTTGGATTTTATTTTTTTTAAACTGTTAATATTTTTATAATTATAAGTTAGTTATAGTTTAGAATTATTTATTTGATATTCTAGCTGCGAGTTATAGTTACAGTTAGAGTTTATTAGAATAAAAAAAACTTATTGTATATAGTTTAGAGTTTATGTATATAGTTTTAGACAAAAAGGTATAAAATCTTGCATAAAAATTATAATTGCACTACAAGTTAATAAGTTATAGATAAAAAAAAAAAGATTTGCATAATTTCTTATTGATATTATTTAATTTTAATTTGTTTTTTGAAATTTATGCATTACATTTCAAGCAAAAGATTGCTTTAATGTTTAAATAAAAATTATTCATAAAATTAGAAAGATACGAATTTATAATGTTCTTTTGTTTTGATTAGCTATGGCGAGTTAGGCTGTCTACCCTTGAGCGAGTTAGGCTGTCTACCCCCTCACTTTAAAGACACAGAATCAAAACTAGTGATGTAAATTTTCCGGTAAAATTTGATTCAAAATTTACCGGTAAAATTTACCGGTAAATTTTAATTATAGAACGGTAAATTTTCCTTTAAAAATTAAAAAAAAAAAAGCTGTGGTTATTGTTCCGACACCGGAATAATAACTACTTCAATTCAAATGAAATAATAACTACTTCAATTCAAATGAAATTCAATTCTTCCGACACACTTGCGCGCATATATAAATACTTAAAATTTCGATTTATTCCTAAATCAATTTATTTCTAAATCACAATTTCGCAATTTATTTATAAATCACAATTTAAGGTTATTCTACAGTAGACACTTTTGAAATAGGCAGAGCATTTTCCTCTTTTGGTGATTTAAAGAAGGCGATAGAAACGTTACAAAAGACAACTTATTTTTGTTCAACCATGAACAAAAAGTTTAATTTTTGCAGAGTATCAAAATCGACCAATACCTAAAAATTGACAACAAGTTATTTGTGGATGCAAAAAAAAAAAAAAAAAAAAAAGATGACGCAGAGAATGACCAAAAAGTTTGTCTATATGATCCTGGTTCTTGTTCTTATAAATAACAGATTTTTAATTGAGTATTTGACATTTTTATTTGGTAAAATTGGTAATGTAATATTTAAATGCTTTTTTCTCAAATTGTCAATTTTTAACCTCCCGGCCATCCTATCTCATTAACCATATGTCAGATTTGCATGAAATTTTCACCAAATGTATATTGTACAATTGGAACTAAAAGTTTTACAATACTTTTAGGAGTTTTTGATTTACATAAGATTTAGTTCACAAAAATGTATTTTTTTAAATACGTCATTTTGAAAAACTCAGCATAGCTTAAATACTTTGTCTTTAAAACAATTTTAATTCAGTTTGTAGATTACTATGTTGTGAATCATATGCCAAAAAATCATATATACTTTTGGTTACTGAGAATGGCCAGGGTGGCCTAATTAGCTGTTGAATGACAATTTTGAATCTGCCATTTTACTTGGTAACCATGACAACTAATAAATTTATTTTGAATTATTTTAAATCCTATTATAAAGTTGTTTCTCAGGATATACTTGGTTTTTTGTAAAAAAGATTTTTTTAATATAAAAATTTTTGAGGGTTCTTATACCTTAATAGCAAAGTATTTTCTAGCGATGTAAATCGAAAGAAAATTTTTACACTAGTTTTTAAACTTATTTTGGTTTCAGACTTAAACATAACTTTTATTTATTATTACTA